CTACCCTAAACTATGATGTTCCTTCACACTGTTCAAACTCTTTCAAGCTCAGCAGAAGAAGGGCGTCACATCAAATTTTTCATTGTGTATAAGGTAAAGAAAGAAATTATTACATGATCACGTGAAACTATTGTCGGAGAACAAATATGCATGGATTATATATAAATGATCAATTAATATTTTTATAAATTCTAACAGTTAAATGAACAATCTTAATCCCTGCAATATAACTTGTAAATCTTTATTAGAATAAGTATGATTGATTGTGTGATAGAAGTTCTTTTCTTCTTTAAATATTTAAAATTCAATAATCATATTAAATTTTGATTAATTAGAATTAAGTTGAATAAACTTATATATTTATATTTATATACATATATATGATAATTTTATTTATTTATTTATTTATTTACATGACTAAAATTTTAAACTTTGAAGAAAACTAAGTTTCTTATTATTTAAGTAAATAAAAACTATTGATTATGTAGTAACTATATATTTCGGCATTTCTTTGTATTTTTGTTTTTAATATAGAATCTTTCTTTAAAAAAAAAGTCAGCTATGAGTGGTAAGTGAGATGTATAGTGAGAAGAAGTCTCAAGATTTTATAATGTTATATGTTATGATTGAAGTTAGTTAATTTTATTTAATTATTTCCTTGCTAAGCTTAAATTCAGCAACTAAGTCATTTTCCGTGCCCAATTTATTTAGACAAAATCCAAATGCACAACCACAGCAGAGCATCTTGATAATCTTCCCTGTGATATAGGATCTAGCTAAAGGGAGTTGGGCCCCAATCAATAATGAAATTAGTTGATAATGTTAGTATATCTACAAGAATTGTGTCCTTCATTTTGTTGGATGTGATGTTTTGCTTAGTGATTGCTGATTAGATAAATTATTTTGTTGTGCCTACCGTAATCTTATGGGAAGATTGTGAAGAGATTTCTCACCCCCTCCCCCCTCTCTCTCTCTCTCTCTCTCTCTCTCTCTCTCTCTCTTTAATACAAGATACTCCAAGAAATTTCAGCTACTTCATTGTTAGATTCTAATGGGCCCTCCCCAATTATGACATCCTAACCAAAATTAATGGACGATTTTCTTTACTTTTCACGTAACACAAACTGTCAAAAAAACAAGTGACAGAACACATTACCAACGAAACTTCACTCTTCTCTAACAAGAAAATTACATTACATATACCTAATCCCTGACTAATCTTTTGAGAAGGTACCATTTGACATTGCTAGATTTCTACTTAGTGCAAAGTAATAGTTAGATAATAAAGTACATCATCATAATAATTAGCCCATAGCATTGGGGTTAGGACCAAAGCTTATCTTATCTTGTTTAATCTGTGTAAAAATATGTCCACATACACTTGTGTTGCTTAACATTTTCTAGCACACACTGACTTCTCTTCCTCTTTTGTCCTCTCATTTTTTTCATTTTTGCATTTGATCTTTGAAAGGTCCCCGCTCTGCCCCAGCAAACTCTTCTTAACAAGCTATATTTCCTCTACAAGACCACAAGTACATTCACCATGATCTATTAATGGAATATATATTTAACCACAAGGAATAAGGACGGTGCATTGTACTACTCAAAATCCAACGGCAAGTAAATCTATCCCACTACTTTCTCCATGACATAAAATGTATTTTGTATGTATAATTATGTAGATTTTGTACATTGATCTTTACTCAAAATATTATTTGGATCAGCTGTGAAAGTGAAGGTGAGCCTTAACCAATCATTAAAATTGTTGCCTTGTGACTTGACACCGGTAAAAATGCAATCATGAAATTAATAAATTCGATGCTAAATTATTATAAAGTTGATAGATTTTTAGAAACTAAGGTAAAAGAAAATGATTAATTAATTTGTCATGAAATTGAGGTGCAAACTTTTAGTATCAAATCTACACAAGTTGGCAATTTGGGGATGAAATTTTTAATTTTCAATCTAACTTTTCATAGTGGACTTTGGTAAAGTTATGAAACGAGAAATGTATCTACTGGTTCTGAAGACGCTACAACAGTACCTTACCTCGTCCTAAATGAAGATCTGACTCATGTGGCTGTGAAGTATTGTCAACCATTTGCATTCACTTTGCCAGCAAAGGTAGGCCACATGACTCCATTTGGGGGAGAACACAAAAGCTTTATACCTATCCTCGGCCCAATGGTCCCATGGTTGCGCCCACTCAATTGAATGAGACTTTGAACCCAAACTTTGTCTTAACCAGCAAAGGGTCTATTTGTGGACACGGCCACAACCATTGTGATGACACAAATTACGAATAATTATCGATGTGAAAGGATTGCTTTTGCGCCAAAACAATGTGCCCCATGAAAGCATACAACGTTTTTTGGGACTTTGGAGCAACATAATCATGGTATAACTAGTATTTTAATTTCAATAAATCAGGATCCTTGTGCTAAAATTGATTGCATTTATCATAAAAGAAAAAGGTCCACTACTATAGAATATTCTCGGCATGAAGATCGTACGAATTTGAATTCTCTATGGTACGCAATTGACGTCATGAAGCTCCCTAGTGGATCAAATAAATAGGCCTCAAAAGTAAAATTATCTACTTACTTGATTTTACAGCCTCCAATTCAAAATTTTTACATTCCATTACTTTATGTTCCATGCTTCTTGTTATTATGCTAGTAAACATAGAAACTCATATTTCAGAGTTTTATGAAATGCCTTCAACGACATGATGAGGGAATTGTATCTCATTGATTACTAGCTTTAGAAGTCATCACGACAATGCGTGTGTGTTGGGGAGGGGGATGTGTTACTAATATTCTTTTGCGTACGTATTGTTTAAAAATATTTTGTTCATAAGTTATAATTTTATATTTATTAAAATCTTTTTAAATATGTATAAAAGACAAAACTTAAATATAGTTATTTAAATATCATTTATTAATTAAAAGTATAATTTCATCTTAGTTATCTATGATAACTTTAAATGTAAATACTTTATTAAAATAAAACCATAATTTCAGCTAATAAATGATGTTACCAACAACTACAAAACAGCACTTCCTTAAAAAATAAATGAGAATCTATTTGTAGTTGTAAGTTATATTCTCCCATTTGAAATTTAAAATTAACATTTTGATAAAACTTAAATTTTAATACTTCTAAAGTTAATTTGCTAACACGTGAGAAATAAATATTGAACATAAATAAAATCATATATAAATGATCGAATTATATTTTATACATAGAACCTTAAAGAATGAAAATATGAAATTGTCGCATGTTTGCCACATGTATTCCCTTTAGTCTCTGGAATTGCACCAAATGATAGGAGACCCCTGATTAGACATAAAATATAAACAATGTAGTAGCACGTCCTCTTGTATAAACCTCAGCTAATCTGTCTATGATCACAATCTGAACTTACAAGTGACTATTCAATGTTTAACCATTATGGTCGTAATTTTATTTTATTTTTTATCATGCTGAAATTAATGTGACCAGATAGCGCCTTTGCACTTTGTAAGATGTAAATTTGAAACCTTTGACTGTTCCCAAACTTATGTTTCAACCTGCAATACAAACTGTTCTTCTTTTGGGTTTATGTTTCAATTATTTTTTCATGGCCAACTTTTAGAGAACAAAGCTATTTGGTTGGCTCAGATTGCCCAGTTTCAAAGTCTTACAAGATGTACATCATGTTAGTTCTACAGCTTTAGTGATTCTTTACACAGAGGACATTCAATATTTCATCAGAATCTTAGCTCAGTTCAATTATTACCAATCTTAAGATAGCATTTTACTTTTCGAATATCCACCATAATTTGTTGGTATAGAAAATATAAAAGACTACCTGTGGCTTATTTCTTCATCAGCAAAAATATATTCAAGACACTTTCAAAAATAATTTTTATAGCTACAAGTTTAGAGTTTTACTACGAACGTGTTTAGATTCATGTTTAAATTTTATAGATTTACGTTTATTTTAACATTATTAACAATTACTTGTATATTAGATTCACGTTTGCTAGTTTTTTAATGTGTTTTCAAAGGCATGCTAATATTTTCCTCTATAGAGTACCCTTGTCAGAACCTATCATTTTCGGTATATAAAGAGATTGAGAGAATCATTAGGTACCTGTAGGAGACTTAGTGGTATGGTTTGCAACATATTAAATGTGTTATTGACCATTGGATTGTTTAGAAGCATAAACTGATTATGATTGGGAGAGGTACACTGATACTAGACATTCTTTCACTACATTTTTGTGCCTTTCTTTCTTTCTTTCTTTTCCTTTGTTCCAAAAGCAACCAACCGACAGACTCAAGACCCATTGATGTGGCCAAATACGGAGCATTAGCATCCACAGTAGAAGAATCACATTATGGATTCGTTTGTCTTCTACATTAGCTTTGTCTTCCATGTGTATAACTCATTCTTTTCTACAATGATAATCAAAGTCCTATTTTCATGACTCAACCAACCACATTGAAGTTAGAAATGTTTTTTGAACAATGAGACAACCAAGAGTTATCCCCTTTGATTTTTAGAGTGTTTTTGAGACGTGTATAAACAAAAAAAAGAAGATAAAGAGAAAATATTGAAAGAAATAATTATATACAATATTATATACTATGTCAATTTTTAGTTGCTCAAATAATAAACTAATGTTGAAATAGCCTTTGTACTTTTTTAAAAAAATTATGCAATTCTCTATATAATGTTATTAGCTTGCTGATTTCTTAGTCTTAACGGCGAGTTAACCCTTTAAAATTCATCAAGTTTTAGAACCAATTTTTGTGTCCCTTTTATTTACAGGACAATACAGATTCAGCATGGTACATTTGAATATTTTTTTATGTTATTTAACTTACTTCATAACTCTAATTTATTTAACTTACTTCATAACTCTAATTTATTCTCGTCCAGTTTATGTTTAAACATATAGTTTATCTTACCTCCTTATCTTGATAGTAAAGAATCCTTTGCTTACAATCAAGTAAACAACAACTCTTAACATAAGCCTAGATTAAAATATGTTACAACTTATAAGTTCTTAACAATAAAGTGCAATTAAGATGTGTCCGTATGGTATACAAATATTCACGGGCATCATAATTCATTATTAAAGCAAGAAAATAATAATATAAACACCCAAAAGTAGAAAAAACAGAAAACGAAAAGGAGTTTCTGAATCCATGGAGCTTCAATAAGAAAAACGTGCACCTCCTTCTGGATTCTGAAACCCAATATTCTCAATGGCACCAACAGTTTTGAACATTCTCCTCTTGTGTATCTCTTCTATCAATGATCGTTGATTTTGCTGTCTCTTCACATCAACATAGGAATGAATCCTTGTTAGCCTATGGTATCCATGGTACCTGTGAGAGTCCATTCTCATGTTGCAAAATTGTTTGGTGAAATCATTCTCAAACACCACCTCTTTTCTAGGACAGAATCTTGTGCTCTTGTTGTTGGCTTTTGGAGAGTAGCAAAAGGGTTCTGTTCCTACTACTGGAGTAGGAACATGCTCATCTCCATTGCTTGAGTCGCAGCACTGGAAATTGAAACACTTGGAGGAGTTCATTGAGCTTTGAGAGCTTGCATCATCATTCATATATAGATCATCTGCAAATTGTTCAATGTGGACAAGATTATACAGTTCTTAAAATTGCACTGAAAATAACTGATATTAACTTCTCAAAAGAACAATTATTAAGAGACTCAGACTCACAAAAGTAGCTTATAATTTTCTTATTAGCTTTTTAAAGTATTTTATTTAGTTTCACGAAAAAATTATCAAAACGTTTTTCTTAAACTTATTTTAGTAAACTTTATAATTGATAAATTAAGGGTATATTTAGAAGATTTTATGAAAATATCTAACGAATTTTATGTTTTTTTATATTTTAACATGTTTATTTTAGTACAACTTATTAAAATAATTTTTTTTTTCAATTTAACTCAATAAATTTCATGATTAAATTCATACCAAGCTTTTATGTAAAAAAAAATTATTAAATAAGCGTTTAATTAAGTTTTTTTAATCTAAATTACCCCGAGTTATTTATCAAAAAATTTCTTTTGTGTATGATAAAAGTTGAAGTGTTATTTGCATTATAAGTTCAAAGAAGAATAGTACCATGAGGCCAATCTTGAGCAAACGGATAATGGTTTCCACGAAGGTGGGAATTATTCTTGTAGGAACCATGGGAGGAAGAGGGAGAAGATGATGAGAAAAAAGGATGGTGGTTAGCGACATCATCCTCTTCTTCATACCTAAAACTATGCTGTCTTTGATATTTGGATGTGTCCCAATCTCTCCCTGTTGGGACTAAACCTGATATCTCCTCCTCTATCATTTCAGCAATCTCCAACGGTTCCAAGTCACTAATTTCCAGTTCTTTAACCATTTCCATTGCCACATCAATGGAAGTGTCGTTTATGGTATCAAATGGAAAGAAAATATTTCTTGTTTCCCCTGCATTCAAAATATAATTCTGGTTTTGTTATTTAAACAATTAAATATTGACCTTGTATGCAATATGGTACACAATTTTAGTATTTCACTTCTAAAAATACTTTTGAAGAATAAAGCCCAAAATTTGATCAAAAATAATTTTTGTCAGATATATTTAAGTAAGGAATTCATCAATTCACTTTATATAACATAACATAATTGTATCTAGTGATGAGATCATATATTCATACCACTTTTGTTAAGAATCTGTACTTTAAGGAAAACTGTGTCATCTTCATCTATTGACCCAGTGATGGTCATGTGGGTGTCCTTTGCTTGGTCCCTCATTGGAGGTTGCTCATTGGCAAATAATGTAGTGAAATTGATGGACCCATTTTTCTTGGGTAAGGTTGGGCTAGGCAGTGGCGAGACAAGTTGGTCCGTGGCCAAAAATGGGTCTATCAAGAGCTCTTTTGCTGACAACCTCTCTGAGACATTTGCCAAACACTTTCCAACAAATCTCTGGGCTTCCTTGTCATGGATTCTGTAAAATGCATCTGGCAGCTTCCCCTGTTGAATCCAATTAGTCAAGTTTTTAAAATCAATGTTTTGGTATTGCAGTTAGGCAGTGTGCAAGCTGGCTTATGCATGGGATGTATTTTATTGAAGACATTAACTATTTAGTTTGATAGTCAAAAACTTTAAACTATTTACTTAAAAACATTAACTAAGTTTTTATTTGATTAAATCTATTTCAGAAACATAATTAGTTGTTTTTTATAATGTTTTGATAGTCTTAAAAATGGAATATTATTTCTCTAAGTGTAAGCTAAATCAAATAATTTTTTTCCCAAACATGTTTAGTTATTTTGCTTCTAGGCACTAGATTAAAAGTGATAAGATATAGATTTTACTTTGTTGAGAATTTCACATTAAGCTATACTACTAACATATTTTTTAAAATTAAAGTTTTTTATACATGACTTATTATATTTTAAACTCACTTTAAACCATAATTAATTTGTAAAATTAAGTTTATGCAGAATCAAATTTACAAATGTTTCTCTAAAGATAAGTGAAATGAATTTTGATTCTAAGATGGTTAAAAAATTATAGTAAAGTGTGTTTGGTTAAGCATACCGAAGTAACTTTCTTGTATATTTGAGCAGGGTTGGAGCACTCGCTGTATGGGAATTCAGAAGTAAACATTTCTATCATACACATCCCAAAGGAGTAAGCGTCAACCAGCTCATTGTATTCCTCTTCATACAATTCTGGTGCCATAAATTCTGGTGTCCCTGATGATTCATACCAAACACAAAGCTTCAGTTTTAGGCAGATGGTTTAGCTTAGATTATTAATCACTAATAATTTACGTGGCAAATAAAAGAGCAAGAGGAATTGCCAATGACACTGTGGGCATGTTGGGAGCCACGAAGAATGGCTGCAAGGCCTAAGTCACCAATCTTGACCTGCCCCAGATGGCCATTGATGAATATATTATCACACTTTAGGTCTCTGTGTATCACAGGAGGATCATGACTATGCAAATACTCCAAACCACTTAGAATCTGGCGTGCCCAATTCTTCACTGCTCTGATATCTACTCGCTGGTACTTTTTTCTGTACCTGCATTACATATTATTATTATTATTAATGTTATCACAAAAATAAGAGAAGCGTGTAAAATTTAAAATAAAAAGCCTTAAATAATTTTTTGTTCCTATAAATATTGTAGTCTTAGAATTAATCCTTGTAAAAAGGTTGATTGTATTTAGTTCCTAATAAAGACAAACTTTTTACCTTTTTAAAGTATTAAGAACTAAATACTAACAATTTTTTTATAAGAACTAATCTCAAACATAACAACATTCATACAGATTAAAAAATTGTTTATGCAATAAAATAAAAAGGACCATTAAATTAAGAGTAATTTTGTGTTCAACTACAGTGTCTATAAACATAACTAATTATGAATTCAAGATGTATTAAAATTTTAAAAAAATTGTGTTGGAATTATTTTAGTATTATCTTGTACTTTTGATTGGCTGTGCTTACAAATACCGTATTCATCTGGGAATTAGTATTTAAGTTATATGGTTCAAAGATACAAGTAATGGTTGATCATATTACTCTCTTAAGGTGCCTGAGGTGAACAATTCGGTGATGAAGTTGAAGGTTCTACAATGGGCATCGATCCAAGAATCATGGAAGGCCATGATTGATTCATGTTCCAAGTTCTTAAGGAGATGAACCTCTGAATAAAGGCGCTGAAGTTGGTCTGGTGAATGAAACACATCACCAAGATTGACCTGGTTCCAAGCCACTTCTATTCCTAGAACCTCATCAAATGCCCTATACACTACCTTCACTGCTCCTTTGCCTAGAATATCCCTGAACTACACGCACCAATAATCATAATAATACAAATTAGTCAATAATTTAATATTAACACCAACTAGGCAACTACATTACATGGCCCAAAATAAAAAAAGATTAATCAACAGATACCAGTTTCATTTATAGTCAAACTAAACTGTGGATGTAACATATGAATAATGAGTTTTAACAATTTTATTTGGCTCTTTATTAAGTGGCCCTTGGTGTATTAGAGAGTTAATTGTGAGCAAAGGGATGCGTCACAATCACAAGCCAAGACTTAGTAAAGGATAGAACAGAACATAAGGTTCTTAATTACTTTATAATAATAAATTGACTTAATCATGGACGGCAACTGAAAATTTAATAAGAAAAACCGTTTCCTTTTCTAAGCAGAGAAAAATTAGTTCAACGTTACGTAATTGCACAAAATTGGCATGAACAGTGAGTTAAGATTCTTGATATTATAAAAATAAATAAATTCGGTTCCTTACCTTTTCAATTATTGATTAATTTAATCCTTAAAATTAACATTATCAATCAATTTAACTTCAAATATTATTAAACTAGTCAATTTGATCTTTAATTAGATTCGACAATTTGACAATCATTATCAATTTAATCTTTGGTAGAAAAATTAATTAATGGGCACTAAAGCGAAGCATCAAAATAATTAATAATTACTAAAACAAAAGATCAATTTGTCATGTTTTTAATGGTACTCTTAAGGACTGAATGACCAATAATTTATTTCTCAATTTCCAAGACTATTTTCTTTTGTACTTTTAAGAATTGAAATAATTTCAAGTTCTAATATGAATATCCAATCAAATTAAATAGCATCCCTATGCCAAAAAGGACCTTCGGTCCAGCAATCAGTACTAATTCTAAACTCTAACTCGAAACAAAAGAATATCTTCATTAATCTATTGTTTCACATCCATCTCCAACTTAATCACCTTAATTCACATATCATACCAATTAGTCAGAAATTAAGTTAATGATACATTCAAAAACCTTAAAGCAAGATGAAAATCAATCAGAAACACTTACACGTCCATATCGACCAGATGGGTCAGTTTCAACATATCCAAGCTGAGCTTTGCCTCCTAATCTCCCCTTGTACATGGCTCGATTACTGACCACAATTCTGACTTAACCGGCACGTGTATTATATAGACTTACAAATACGAGGGTTGAAAATTTAGCAACAAATTAAAACAACATATTATATGAAATTATCTTAATCAACCAAAGGTGCATGTGTGCTAGATGATCCGTGGCTTCCACTCATGATTCTCATAGGAGAAGACACCAAACAATTGCCACAAGAGCCTTGAGTAATCAACACTAAGCATAACCCAAGCCATTTCAACAACCCCACATGAAAGCTCGTAGAAGTGTTTCTTAACCATTGGTGTCAGATGTCAACAATCTTTAGAAGATGAAGAACTTAAAATAGAGAATAAGAGATGCCACTCTTTTGAGATATTTTTGTGAGGGATATACGAAGGGAGACAAAGATAACTGTTTTGTATGGATTAAGGAAGAATAGTAGTAATTGATGTGTTGTGTTGTCCCGCAATAAGGTCACACCACAGATTGTGTTTTATGAGCCAAAAGGCTAATGAGTGCTGTGGTTGAAGATACTTGTGGACCAAGAGATTTTGACAAGGATGAAAAAGCTCTTAGAAAATGAAAGGACCATATAAAAGACATGGGCATGAAATTGAGCTTCTAAATTTGAAGAATCTATGGCCATGCTTTGATAAAAACATTTGTGGATGTGAGAGATACAGATCACACAAGTCAGATTAGGGAGAGGGGGAGAATCTTTGGAGGAAAAAGGGTTGAAGAGATTTTGATTTGGGAGGGAAATGAACAGAGAAGGACTCTCAAGTTTTACGGATTTGGTCTTGTGGATGGTGGAGAAAGAGTGGTGGTTGATGTAATCTAAGCAGGGGATGAATTTTACATTGCATAGTCAACGTTTTGTGTGTGTGTGTGTATATATATATATAACATTTGTTTTAGAATAATCATACAAGACTCCACTTGAGATTATTAATAATTACACATAAATCTTATTTAATTTGAAAACTACACGTATCCTCTTCATATCTTTCTTATTTTTTAATTATTTTGTAGAACTTAATACATTGAAAACTCCTAAGAATAGTTGGATTAATTAAATTTAATGTCTATAAACTGTTATTAAATAGAAAAAATTAACTAAGACTTCCTCTTGAAATAAATAATTGCTTCCACAAGTATTTTAAAATTTAAGTAAATTAAAAAAATAGTAGATATTTTTATTATTAGTAATGAATGGTTATTCTATTAAATAAAATTAATTAAAAATGATTTTAAAATTGAAAATAAACTGTGAAAATATATTATAAAAATTAAGACACGTTATGTTTATTGACATGATATGTCAAAATTTTAAAATAAAACCTCAAATAAAAATTTATTAAGATTATAATATTTTTAAATTTTAGTTTATTTAAAAAATAAAAATATCTTTAATTTGATATGATACATCGAATTTTAAAATTAAAATTAAAAAATAGTATTTAAAAATAAAAAAGTTTTAAAAAAATTAATACTCTATTATAGAACTGCAACTTAATAAAAATAATAATAGTTCCTAAAAGCATTGTCTTTTAATTAACCCAACTTTTTTTTATGAATATTACGTGAATATAATTGTTAGGTTCTTACGAAATGTAAATCCATAATACTCTTTGCATTACATTACATATAGATTCAAAAGTTTAAAAAAATACCATATAATTATATACAGATAATTAAAATTATTTTTTTATTATATTTTTTATTTATAAATTGTGATTTACTTTTCTCACTTCAAACCTCTTATCCTAGTATATTATATATAGACGTATTTAATAACAAGAATTAACATGAAAGGTGAGAGAAGTCAATAATTGGCCTTCTTAATTAGGTATATTCTTTTTGTCCAAACCAATAATTTGCCTTAGATAATTTTTATTTTATTTTATTTTATTTGTGAAAAATTCGGTCGTTTTCACACAAAACCAGGACTGTAGTCATATCAAATTGTCAATGCAGTTTTGGAAATGGGTTGAATGGAGCCAACCTTTATTTCTTAGTTTTGTTTGATTTTTGAAATAAAGGCATGGATTTAGTTTATTTGATATGAGTCATTTTTTAAGGCTTAATCTAGATCTCTTAATAGTTCAAGCTGAACTATAAATATATTTATAAGATTGCATTAATGCTCTAATCTCTCTTATAACTGGGGAAAATCTATGAGCTTAGAATAGCAAAAAATAAAAATAAAAATCTATGAGCTTAGACTATTAGTCTCAATTAACTATGTATCTACTTTGGAGTCCATCTCAACTAGCTCTTTATGCATATGCTTCTTGTTAAATTAACTTCAGGCCCATTAATAAACTCCCTGAAGTTTAGCTTTGGTTAAAAAAGGCATTAATCATTGTACACATGAAACCAGCTACAAATTTTGTGTAAGGGCCATTGATTAGACCATCAAATCCAATTAAACTTGAAAGCTTAATTAAGAACTTATTCACACACATTTAGTTCCAACCATCCTTTCTTGGGAGAATTTCAACTAATGATAGCCTAATTTCTAGTAGAACTACGCAAAATCATCAAAGTAGAGACCAAATTATATATTATAAATATAATTAGAATAACCAATAATGAATGAGATGCAAATTAGTGTCCTTGAATTTCGAATTAAAAAGCAAGTCATTCCTCTGATGCCACAACCTCTAGCATATAATTCCAAACATAGTATTCTAATAAGAATTCACATTTTGCTTTTGAGGTGTATTTATATTTGCAAACGACCATTTTAATAATGAGTGTTTCTAAAACATATATTAAGGAATTGAAATATTTATTACTCTTTTATAATAATATTAAATGTTTATATTTTCATGATACAACATGTATTTTTTTATTTAATAGTAAAAGTGTTTCATGCAAGAAACTCAAACTGATCTTTATAAAAGCAATATTAAAACAAAAGCCCATCCCTGATTCTCTCTCTAATTAAAACACAACTTATTGATGTAATCACTTGAGGTAAAAAAAGAAGAAGAAAAAAAAATGCATACATGAAAGCTACAAGTTGAGCAATTCGACTATATTAATTTTCCTTTTTTAAAGATTCAGTATCCCATCGACTTGTAACCAATAATACACTATTTAAATTGTGGGTAGTTAAGCATATGAACTGTCATTGCTCTTGTGTAGCTGCTATTCTAATTTAAAACAAATGATAACACAAAAATTGCATTCAAATTTTATTCTCTTTTCAATGCATGCCATTGCCATATGACGTGACTCCATGTTAATCACTTTTTTAATTATTATTATTATTATTATTTTGGGCGAACTTAAACTTAATTATTTAGTTTATAGATGTGACCCTAACAATAACAAAAATTCAAATAAATGTTAAGATTGCAAGAACAATTAAAATGCATTATTGAGAAAGTTAATGAAGTTTTGCTAAACAAATTAAGCAAAAAGATACATAAGCTGATCATATTGATTTCCATCCTGAATGAAGATTTTACATGCAATGATAAAATTCAAATGTGGAATCATCGTTTCAAAAGAGTCCTACCCTCTATGAAAGTAACAATACTTTATCACGAACACTGATAAAAGTATACACAAAGTCTTACTAGTAGTATTTGAGAACGAAAATGAGAATTATATATATATATATAATCTCGTGATATCCTGATATATTAAAAAAAAAAAAAGACATCATTGAATTGATAAAAAAACAATCGAAATCGATTTTTTTATCAAAAATAAACTATAATAATTTACTCTTGTATATTAAAATTTTAAAAAAATACTTGTTATGATATTTGTAAATTTAAGAAAGTATCTATTTTATGTTTTTTAAATTAACAGTTATTATTTATTAAAATCTTAAAAATTAAAAAATATTAATAATTTTAATTAAACTATTAATTTTATTATTTATTGATATAAAATTAACGATAACGCAACAAAAAATACTAAACTCTTTTGATTATAAAAAATTTTACTAAAATAAACAGTTAGTGTTGATTTGGATAATGCTTTTAAATTTTTAATTGTTAGATATTGTTATTTACGATTTCAAGGTCTGGTGTAGGCCTGTGAAAAATGGAGAAGAAAAATGATTAAATGTGGAGATTGGGGATAAAAGTGGAAAATCATGAAAAGAGAAGAACATAGAAGTGCCGTTCCTATATTGCCTAATAAGTTTTTTTATTATTGGAGTCATTGGAACTAGTGACAAATCCCTAAATATTCTAAGAGTGGACCGAATATAATAATTATAAGAATTGCATACACTTTTTTAATCTTTATTTTTTAATTAACGTTTTAATCTTCGGAATGACGTATATAAGTCGTTAATTATTAAGAGATTGTTATGTGTTAATTTTTAATTTAATGTAATATGCTTGTTTTTTACTCTTATTCTAGCAACAAATTAAAAGGGTGATTATCACATACCGATTATTGGGTGAATGTTTCACAAAAGTAATAATACACTAATCGTATTAACATTTTTTTTCATCTGTTATAATCATTGTTTTGTTAATACGTATACTTAAAATACACGTTAAAAGATTGAAATAATATCTATTTTTTATTTAAAATATTTTGAACAAATTTTTAATATTCAGATTTATTTTTCAATATTTATTTATTTTATCTCAAATCATGTTGAAAAGACGTTATCATTAATTTACGACAGTATACTGGGCAAGGCTACTCAGAAATAGTTTCACCCACTGACTATTTTAGTCTTATCGTTTGTCTGGTCAAAGTGTTACTCACAAAATGCAAAATCTTCTTGACCTTATGTTTATTTAGGAAATACAGTATTATTTGCATAGTTATTCATCTAACCGGGTTTTATATTATATATCTCTAAAAAAATATAAAACTTATGGTAATCTTAAAAAAAATATCATATAACTTCAAATTATAAATTTGTGTTTGAATGAAAATTTTAAAATTCTTAAAAATATAAAATTAATAATAAAAAATAATTTAAGTGAGAGTAAAGTACGGCAATTGTTATTAACGATAATTATAAGAATTAAATATAATAAAAAAGTTTTTAATTTTTTTATAAAGATATATCGTTTAAATTTTTTTCTATTTGGTAAAAAAATTATATTGTTAAATTCTGGATTATTTTATAGATATTTTTTTATTATCTAAATCTAAATACATGTAATTTAATATTTTAAAATTACTCCATCTAAATACAATAAAAAGTAATTGTAAAATATTTCATTTGAGATAAAGTTTAAACATATTTTTTATAATTAAAATATTATGATTTATTATTAAATTTCTAATTTTAAAGATTTAACAAATGGAATTTTATGAAGTATTTTACTCTTTAAAGAATACATCTTATATTAACTTTAGGTGCAACGTGATTTTCTGTATGGAAAGTGTAGTTCTTGTATTAAAAAAGTTATGGAGGACATGCTCTTATTTTTTGTTTTGAAATTAGGAGATCAAATGATAAATAGTAATATTTTGAAGAGAAATGTTAATAATGTTTTCCGTATATTCTTTTTAAAAAATATTATTAAATAAATTTCATATAACTCTTATATCATATTAAGTAAGTATGTCTCTTTTTTATTTAAGTAAACTAAAATAAATTTTATAATTTATGTGTAAATACTCCATAAGATAGGAAGTATATATTTGATCTTCTTCCTGGTATAATAAAGAATAAATTTTCTTTTTGTTCTGATATATGTTGATGGCATAATAATTACAATTATTATAAGTAGTTCAGAAATATTAATACAACAACTGATTTCTCAATTTAATTTTAAATTTGCACTCAAACATCCTATTTTTTAAGAATAAATATGCAACGTATTAAAAATAATTTATTACTTTTATCTCAAACTAAATAAATTTACTTTTT